CATATTTTTAAATAAATAATTATATTTATGCTCTACTTTTGTATCGAGCACTATTTTTTTTAAAATAATAACTAAAATACTAAGGGACTTTGGATTATTTACCTAACCAGTTCCTTCCTATTTTCTATATATTTTCACATATATATATTATATATATATATGACGAGCTGACAAAGCTGATACATATTTAATTTTGGATAAAGCCGACTACCACAAAAAATTACAAAACATTATTGACAACCGATCTAAATTCACCAAACTGAATAGAAACCCCACTGAGACCCTAAAAAGGCCCGTCAACAAACTAATAACAGCCCACAACGCGGAAGTTGGTTCCGTGAAAATCAAAAAATCATTGGAGACTACCAACATGGATATTTATATGGAAATCTAAAAACCCATAAGCTACGACCAATCATCTCCCAGATCTCAACACCTATCTACGAGCTATCAAAATCCTTGAACGACATCATCACTTCATACCTATTCTCCAATTACAACATCACATCCACTCACGAATTCCTCCAAATTTTAAAAACTAATAAAACAAACCAAGGTATCATAGCGTCACTTGACGTCGAAAACCTTGACATTATCCTCAGTTCTGTGTATACTAATAATTCTATCCCTCTGCTAGCCATCAAACCATTTATACTCAAAAATTACTACACGCATGTACAACCAAAGTCCCACTCTATGATCATAATGGCAATATTTATACCCAAACTAATGGTGTCAGTATGGGAAATCTCCTTGGCCCATGCTTTTCAAATTATTATATGTCCCATGTAGAATATATGATATTTAAACAGATCTGTAAACCTAAAATATATGTACGCTACGTAGACGATATTTTTATTTTAGCAAATAACACTAAAGAAATAGATACACACAAGACCACATTTCAGAAAAACTCCGTCCTTAACTTTACTTATATATACTTCTATAACACACTAAATGCATACACATAACGCACACAATTAAACTGAAAAATAAAATCATCTTTGATAATGGCCAAAAGTATAGCCGAAAGCGCTCGGAACTATGAAACATTTGGACAGTTTCTACACACTCTTTGTTCAAAAAAGAAAGCTGTTGTGCGAACACAAGAAAAATTAAATAAAAAGCTTAACCGTAGTACCTTGTCTGTCGTTTTTAATGAAACATGCATAAATGAAGGATTGCTGCCTAAATACACACACACACACACACACACACACACACACACACACACACACACACACACACATATATATATATGCACATAGTCGTTTTGCAGAGACGTTAATGTTAGCCAAATCTGTTGCTGGAGTAACACACATTCCAATAAAAGGCGAAGTGAGGAAAGATAGAGCCCTGAGAAATATGTTTTTATGTCAGAGAAGAGATGGAAGAGCAAGAAAAAAGAATGTGGGGAGAGGACATCAAAGGTTTTGCTGGCAATCATACTATTTATATCAAAGGCATCTGACACAGAGAACCAGTGAGCCACACGCACACACACATACACGAACACACTGCCGCAGAACAACATACACGCATCAAGATTTTGACAACAAAAATACTACAGACAATTTATTTGGTAAAACTCCAAGCAATAAAAGGAACCATATCAGCCAGAATTCATATTCAAAGCAATTTCTTATTTGTAGATTAGTTTTTTTGTTGCAATAAATCGATGGCTGTCATCAAATGAATTTTCCCGTTGCAATTTGGTTGGATAATTCTCTTATGAATACATCTATGAGTAACGTCATATTGTAATGACATCATAAAAAAAGAAAGAACTAAAGTGAGAATAAATCCGCAGATAACTAATACAGATGACGATAATATCAACGTCAAAGAAAAATTGGCAGGTTTAAGAAATAAATCAAACTCCGTATTGAAGTTGCCTGAATGTGGGACGTTCAGGCCATTATTGTACCTGTTATTATTGCGGCTTTGGGATGTATATTATAGAGCCCAGTCTTACGGAAAATCAGAATAAAACCGAATATCCCATCGCTTCAGAAGTCTGTTTTGCTTGCCATTGTAAATGTTCTGAAAAAGATGTTCTCTGTCTGAGGTCGTATGACTTGACGAAGAACATCCATAATGCAAAATGTCTGGTTGAAAACGAAAAGCCGTTCGGAAGAAGAAAGTATTTTGTTATTATTAGTAATAATAATTATTACTAATATTAAGGTCATTTATTATTATTATTATTATTATTATTATTATTATTAATAATAATAATAATAATAATAATAATAATAATTGGTTACAAAGATAGATCCTGTAACAATTTTATTGAACTTTACAATACACGCAGACAGAACAATCAAAGCTAACATGTGCTTTCTTATTGATATGGCAGTCCCTGCAGATTGTAATGTATCTTTAATGATCTTCAAAAAACTAACAAAATAATAGTATCTTGAAGTGGAAATCTAAAAAATTGTGGCACATGAGGACACCAGTAATTCCAGTTGTAGTTGAAGCCTTAAGATTGTCCGGAAAAGGTTCTGATAGACTCATTGACGGGATATCTCATAGCCCACGCCTTAAAGAAATAAAAAAAATGTATTCGCAAGTACATTACGAAGAGCATTATCTTTGTAAAATATGTGTGATCTTAGTTTTTTTTTTTTTTTTTGGTTTTTATTTTTACAAAAGTGATCAGTGGAAAATGTCATTAAACAATTTCTGATCTTAGGTCTCTGGTTGGGACCCAGAAGGAAATTTGTATACAACAGAAATCAAAGGAAATAATAAAAAATAACAATAACTGGGTACGGTTTCGAAGACCAAGTGATGAAACAAAAGGTACTGGAAATATTTTGAAGAGTGCCGGTGTATTGAGGAGGCATATTGTCACTTAAGCTCCAATCTTGAATACCAATTATTACTAGTATGTCCCTTCAACGAGTAAACAAATGCGCAAAGTAAAGATGTCCTAGTTTATTTGCATTCACCAGGGGTCATTTTAGCTAAACGAAGAGAAAATAGAATGAAAATTAGATGATGGAGATTTGGTTTTGTATTACTCCGTTTCTTCACTCTTCGGACTCAAGTTCACCATAGACCTCAAATGTAGTTCATCTGGAATAATCGCTAACTTCTTATAGCACTCCTGAAAGTATTTGAATCCATTTGCCATCCTTCATCTTTACAGATCAGACCGAAAATGGAGTATCACTACCATATCTGTACTAAAGTTAAGCAATCATCATTTTCCAGACCGATGCAACTCCGCAAGTTTATCGTTACTCTATTACTATTTCCATAGAAAATGTTCTGACGGGCTACTGGCCTTAGTTTCACTAGGTGAGACATTTACAGTTAAGAGTCGCCACGTCATGTACACGAGGGCGAAGCATCATTCTCTTCGTATCCCATAAGTAAGAAGTTACATGTCAACAGCTTCATCTTAAGAGCCGCTGCTTTGTGGGACAGCCTCCCGAGAGGATGCTTCCCAACCACTACAACCATAAACTCTTATGCACAAGCGTTATCTATCATACACATCCTCACGAGCTGCAATTAGCACCTCCTAATCTTAAGTCTATAACACAACCTCATTCAATAACCCTCTAACGAGTGGGTCTTGAACCTTGCACTGAGTAAATAATAGCGTAAAAACACCTTTTACGTTATCAGATAATATATATATATATATATATATATATATATATATATATATATATATATATATATATGAAGAAGGCGAAAACTTAACACATAATCGAATAAATTTATTTCGACAAATAAATTTTTAATATCTGCCTCATAATACCGAAATTACAAAATGGTTTAAATTTATTCAGACAATATATTAGAAATTATTTTAAAATTAAATCACAAAAGAACAGGAAGTAAATGTTTGAATTACTTGACATAGAAAAAGTTTAATTTCGGTCCAATGAGGCAGATATTTATTACCGAATTCCTCGATGATGTGTTAAGTTTTTACCTTCTTGATGCATATCATATTGCTCTGCATAATATTGAGCTCTTTTCATTGATTTATCTTTTTAATATTTTATGTTAAAAAGACCTACTTGAATTATCCTTACCACTTACGGATTTGACACACACACACATACACACACATATATATATATATATATATATATATATGTATATATATAATCCGTACACACACGCACACACAGATACACACATGCACACACACACACACACATATATATGAAGAAATATACTCTTAAGGTGTACTATATTTATGGGAAAAGTACCCAATATCAGAGATAGAGCGTATGTAAATATAAAAGTGAACATTGAAATCAACACTTAGACGCGACAGGCCTGACGATTGCGTCTAGCATGAAACAGCCTGTCGCCTCTCTCTCTCTCTCTTTATATATATATATATATATATATATATATATATAAATCGAGTTTCTCAATCACTGTGTATTTATCTAAAAATAAATACGCTTAAATTCACCTTTGTCACTGCCGTACGCCAACACCTTAGTTGTAGAACCCCCCCCCCCGACTGACGTTTATTCAGTCGGGTTTCGAACCTAGCTAGAAGCAACTGCCACACTGATGAGCTGCGAAACAGTCTCTCTGTGGTTGACTATATATATGGCCTAAAGATTCATTTTAAGTATGAAACTCACTGTCAATACTCGGTCTTTACCTCAGCGTCCTCTTTTATATTCATTTATACACGTTCTATCCCTGACATTGAGCACTTAATCCATCGTTATATATATTTTTGATACTAAAGTACAGCCAGTAAAGATTTGAGAGCTTCTCAAGCTAGAGTATTACTGTCAAAATGGGTATGATGAATAGATTTTGGTATGAGTTAAAGAAGTGGTAAGAAGAAGTGGTAGGAAATGAAGATTATGAGGATAAGGAGGATAGATAACCATAATTCGTAAGGGAAGTTCCAGGAACGATAGAATAAACCGTGGCCATTTTCCCAGCTTCAAATAAAATGACAAATACGAAATAACAGATTCAAGTGCTTATTACACGTCCTGACTTACGTCCACATCGCGTTGAAACACCGGTTCCCGTACGATCACCGAAGTTAAGCAACGTCGAGCCAAGTCAGTGCCTAGATGGGTGGCCGCTTAGAAGTATCAAGTGCTGTAAGCTTGGGTGTACGGGTGGAATAATGGCTCGGAATTGTTAATCATAGAGCCGTGTTCCAATTTCAGTTGGGTCCGTTATATTTACTTACGCGCAACTGCCCCTGGAAAAGGTAAGTATCAATCATCTCTCCCCTAGCTATGGGTTAATTAGTAATTTTTGTATGTCGAAATCATTATTTTCTTCAAAAAAACAAATTTTCTTAGAATCTAAAAATATTTCTGGCTTTAAATAACCTGCTTAGAAAACGAACCAATCAATCATTTTTTTTTCCTTCACTACTTTGTAATTTGTGTTCAAACTGATTACAAATAAAGAGAAATTTACGCATGTTTCCGTTTTATTTGTTGTTTAATTTTCTTTCTTTACTCACAGCATTCAGTGATTACCTTTTATTATCTCTTTTGTGAACGCGTTGTTGCTGTCTCCCGAATTTAACTAAACTGAATCTATTGATCTGTGAAGAAAATGTTCAACTTGCTGAAAGCAACGCTAATTATTTTACTTACAAAGCCTTAAGCGCTTTGCTAGATTGCCATCAACGATACTATTCCATGAGAAGGTGCTGAAAAGTTCTCAGCCCAACTCACTTCCCAAATTCGTAACAAGCATAATCCCCACCCCATTTTTTTTTTTTTTTGTTTACAGGGAAGGCTTCTTGGTCGAACAAAAATTTCAGCACGTCCTCGTATTGATATGTCGGTAAGTCTGTTATCGGTATTTACAAAATTCAGCTAATTACTACAGACAGCCAAAAGCAAGGGGAGCCCACTTAAATTCTAAGGCACTTCTGTAATAATAATCAACGTGAGGAGAACCAGATGTATTTACTAAGCTGAGTCTGATACAACGCTGTAAGTGTGAGGTACCCAGTGAGGATCGATTGTAGTAAGGATCCGCGAGATTTACTCATTAACTAATACTGCACATGTCCCCAATCCACGTACGTGTGTGCTACCAATTCACGTTAAGCTCGACCTTGTGTTATATTCCACTTGGGTGCGATTAAATAGCCTCCCTAGGTAATATTTCTCATTCGGACATAGGCTAGGGTCATTACCTTGCGTTTATTATTAAGTCTATAAGGTCTTCAGAATGAGGATCGAACTCACTACTCTTGTAATGAAATAGATCAAACTTGGTATCTGTCTATATTTCTGCAATGTGGTATTATGTACACTATTTACATTATTCGGACTATTGTCCTGATCTTTGTCGCCATATTTATTAAAACGTTTCAGCCGTTGTACGCTCCGCCTTCTTCACTGAACCCTTTATTTCGTTCACCAGGGTAGACTATTCTAGTTCCCCGTGCCATGTTTAATGGAAGTCAGTTATCAGTTATCTCCTGTTAATTTCCCTCTGAAAGTTCTCCACTGCCTTAACCGGGTATTGAACTCACACTGTTTGGGTCCTGTCACTGGATCTAACCAACGCCTTTATCTACTGTGCCATGTGTCCCTGGCACGTGGAACTAGAACAGTCTCACCCAGTGAGCGAAATAAAGGGTTCAGTTCGACATTCCAACCACCTGAAGAAGGCCGGAGCGTACAACGGCCGAAACGTTGTAATAAATATGGCGACAAAGATCAGGACAATAGTTCTAATAATGTAAATAGTGTAGACCAAGCTCGTGTAACCTTTTTCGAGCAGTGAGCCGCGTGATCAATGACACATCGCAACGCGGGCCACACTACTAAAAAGATTCAAGGTAAGCTTTCGAAGTAAGCGTATACCTTAGAAATAGTAGGAAAGTTATTGTAGTATCGTATGCAAATTTGATAAACAAGTACAAATAGAGAACAACTGGCGAACATAGGGGTTATGCCTAGCAAACCCGGTTGCTATTCAGCACACGGAGAACTTTACTACGACTACTACTACGCAGAGAAATGTTCAAAACGTAACAGTTCTATGTTTTAGAAAAAAAATTGCAATTAAAAAAGTGAAGTTTTGGTATAATATTATCACTGATGGCAGTGTGATTGAGGCTGCGTGGGATATATTTCTAATTTATTCATTTAAAAATGAAAACATTTCTTATTAGAGAAAGAAAAGTCCTATGATGTTTCCTGTTGCAAAAGCAAAAGGTATTTACACGTATGAACTTCCATAGTGAAAATCGCCAATGGTTTAAAATTCTGACAAAGTTACTTTCGCCAGAATCTTCAAGAAACATTTATGCATGTGGTTATTTATGAGAGAGTGTGTGAGTGAACAAGTGAGAACGAAACAAAATAAACTTTTAAGAAACCTTATTTTCCTTATGAAATTATGCGTGTCATTCAGAAAGACCAAACGGGCCGCAAATGGCCTGCAGGCCGCAGTTTAACAATGACTGAAATAGATGGTGTAAACAAATAACAACAGGAGACTTAATTATCTGTCTATATCTCTGAGATGAGGTATTATGATTACTTAGATTATTTACATTATTCAGACTGTTATCCCCATATTCATTGCCATATTCACAACATTTCGGCCGTTGTACACGCCGGCTTTCTTCTTCGGGTCCTCAAGGACACATGGCCCAGTGGATAAAGGCGTTGGTTAGATCTAGTGACTAGACCCAAAGAGTTGTGAGTTCAATACCAGGCTACAGCAGTGGTGAACCAAAACTAAGAAAGTTGAATTAAAGGGAAATAACTGAGACATTCAGAAGAGACATGGCCCGTGGAACTAGAACAATCTACCCCGGTGGATGAAATAAAGGGTTCGGTTAGAAATTCCAATCACCTGAAGAAGGCCGGAGTGTACAACGGCCGAAACGTTGTGAATATGGCAATGAAGATGAGGATAACAGTCCGAATACTGTAAATAATGTAAGGAGGATTAAATATATAGAAGAGCGAAAGATGCCTACCAAAAGATAAGCCAAGTATTAAGAAACAAGAAAAGATACACTAGAAGACAGAGGAAAGTGTGCTGAATAATTATATAGTATCAATTTTTATATATGACAGTGAATGCTGGACAATTTTCTCAAAGATGGAAGAAAGCTGAGGCAACAAAGATGTGTTTCTACAGAAGGTTGCTGAGGGTATCATAGATGGAGCACGTGAGCAAGAGGAAGTGTTAAAGAAAATAGAAACTAAAAGGACATTTGTATTTAGAATCAGAAAGAGTTGAACTTTTGGTGGGAGTATAAGGAAGGAAGACATTTTGGAGTATTTGACACTGACAGGACACATCGAAGTTAAGAGAAGGGAAAGGAAAACATCGAGTAAAGTATCTAGCGAAATTGTGTAAATGGATGGTCGAATAGGGACTAGGTCAGATAGTAAGGAGACAAATGTTATTAAGGTCTCCAAAGGACTAGAAATTGTGGAGAGCCATTTATCACCCATATCCTGAAGGGAAATTGAAAATAAAAGAAGAGAAAAATAAAAGAAGCATAGTTTAGTAAGTTAAATGATCACAAGTACGAGTAGGAATAACGTGTTGCGCCAGATTTTGAACCAGCTACTTGCTTTGAAAATCAACGTACATAGAAGATGAAAATGAAGAGAGAAAAGGGGGATGAGAAACAGAAAGGGGAGATGGTCCAAGACGATTGCAATATAGCGATGTAAATGATAAAACCACTTTAGCATAAGTCCTTTTCGGGGATGACTACATCTTCCTGTGCCGTGTTCGGACGTAGGCGATCATGGCTCTCTCCAATTCGTTATCCTTTGTAGCAAAATATTTGTTTTGTTTCTCCCAAACCCTGTTCCGTTATCCATTTAGTCATGCACACTAAGGATGTTATGCGTTGGTTTACTCTGTGCCTCTTTCCTTCAATTTGTCTTATGTGTATCAGATTTTTCAAGCACCCTTTCCTCATTATTTGTTCAAGAAATTTCAGCTGTCTCTTCCTGATTTTAATTATAATTTTTCCTTTTATTTCTATTTTCTTTAGAACTTCGCCGTTATTCACATATTCGGTCCATGGTATCCCCCAGTATCCTTCTGCAGAACCAGATTTCTGTTGCTTCAAGTCTCTTCTTAATCTTTGAGGAGATTGTCCAGCATTCACTGCTGTATAGGAGGACAGATATCACATAAAAGTCCAGTACCATTTTCTTTCTTTCTAGCGAAATTTTCCTGTTTCTTAGTACTCTGCTTAGCTTTTGGAAAGCATCTTTCTGTACCCCAACGTGTCTTCGGATTTCAGTCTCACACTTTCCGTCCTCTGTTAAAAGAAATCTTCCTAGATATTTGAACTTTTTTATTTGTTTAATTTTCGCATTTTCAATTTGTAATCAGATAATGACTCTAGCCCCTTACCAGCAGAGAGGAGCTACTTGGGTGGCCCTAGATGTGTGTATTTAATCGTCCGCCCACTCGAGCAGAACGTAATACAAATTCGAGTTTAACGTGGTAGAGTATTATACGAGTACGTGAAGTTGAGAGGAAAAAAATTACTCAAGCCTTCTTGGCGTCTTCCCATTTTGGGACACTTCAGTCCAAATAAGGGGTATTGCCTGGTGCAAATCCCCCTGGGGCTCGAGTATATAATATTAATTTTTACCCTCTGCTCGTCAGGGCGAGTACCATCCTGTATGACGAATGTTGATCAATGTGCTATGAATTATATATCAGTGAAGTGGACAGATGACTAAGTGCGTTTAAATATATCAATATGACTGTCAAGCAAGTGATAAACATGCAGTATCAAGTTGAATATCAATATGTCTACACAAGTGATTTAGAATTATTAACGTAAAAATGAAAAACAAATCGAGATGTTACCGTACGCTTTCACGTGGAAAGGTCAAAATTCTATGAACTTGTGGATGGCTAGTTTTCCTTGAAAATCAGCATCTGAAATCATTGCCTCTATCTCGATTCGAGCACAGAATAATGGCACCAATCGGGAAAAATATAACTACTTTAGTAGTCATATCAGGACTTGAGTGTTTTTTGAAACGATTCTAAACGCACGCAGATCTTTCTATAAAAGTAGTCGAAATATAATGAGTGCTGATCTCGAAAGATGCACTATTTGTAGTATGTGACTCA